GGAAAGGTCCTGTGGAAGTAAAACTAACTGGTTGAGGTTATATGTGTGTAAATTACAGATTCCGGTCTGCGGTGGGTGCCAGCTCAATGGGTGAAACCCTGGAAAGAGTCAGCATCACCCCAGGACACCCCCCTTGTCAGTGACTGAATGAATTGAAATTTGAGCTTAGGACATCCGTTTTATGGATGTTTTCAGCCCTTCTTAAAGTGAAGAGAGCAATCTTTTTTACGTTAAAGTAAACAAACAAACAAACAACCCCCCCCCCCCCCCCCCCCCAAACCTCCAGGGAAGCGAGATCAGCGCGGGATACAGATGTTTTGTGTGATTTTTCTGGTGGTGGGAAGGTCTCTTTTATGCTCTTATCAGGGGTATTGGGCATACTGTGACGGACCGTGGACTTGGGATCCCTTATACAACTCATTTAATACACTCTCTCTGTGATACTCATGTACTAGAAGTCGGTAAATATAAGTATGTCCAGGTTTCTGTCGACCTTTGGAGACCTTTATAGATATTGCTGGCCACTTCTTTCGACATAGGCTGGCCACCTGTGTCGGAATGAGTGTGCATTTTGGTCAGTATAAAAGCCCAAGCCTCATGCGATGTGGGGGGGGCAGAGCCTCTGCGGGGACGCCCGCTAAGGTTGAGCCTGCCACCTCACACTGCAATGATGCTTCTCGGAGCTGGTTTCCTGTTAGTCTCCACAGGGTCCTTGTGCCACGTTCTGTACGTGGGGCTGTAGTGGGAGTAATGATTGTCTGGAATTTGTGCTTCAAAGATTGTAGTTGTGTGGAGCGTGCTTGTGGGATCCCACAAGTGTGTGTGTGCATGTGCTGAGGGCAGATGGTGTTCTGTGTGGTTTTTTTTGGTGTTGGGTTCATGTAAAAGTTTTTAATGGGGAGCAGTTTAACATTTCGGGCATGAAAGGGTTAATGCAAAAGTGCGGTTGCCAGCAGGTATTTATGGTTGCTGCTGAAGCAGGCAGGCAGGCAGCTGTAACTGCTGCCAAGCAGGCCGGTGTTTGTAGGGTGCGCAACTTTGGATCAAAAAAAAACCACAAAAAAAAACAAAACCAAAGGCAATGATGCAGCAAACTCCTCACCAGTTAACAACGTGCAGTTTAACCTGTCTGCTTCTCAAGAATGGATAACCTGGGGGAGGGGGTATATTTGTGTCCTCCTGCCTACAGGTCCATGGTGACTGCCTGCAAAGTTTGTCAAGCCTTGCCATGAGCTGGACAGACGAATGCATAAACCTGATGCCTCAGCTGCAGGAGCTGACCGTGATTACCCCAAGCAGAATGAGATAGAGGAAGAGAAAGAACAAATAACTGCAAAACATCACTTGGGGGCAACTGAAAAGTAACATCCTGAATGTGTGTGCTTGTAAAGTAGCTATTATTAGAGGTTGTGATTTTGTGTATAAAACCACCTGTATTTACTAGCTAGTTGCCAATAAGAAACTGCACCTTGTATTGTATAGATTTGTCACTTGTAAAAGAGATGTTAGAGTATGGAAATTTGCAGTAGCTGCTAGAAAATGCTAAGGCAAAAGCTAGAAAGATTTTAATACAATGGTAGTGTTATAAAGCAGGTGATGGAACAAATTTAAGAGGGGGGAGAATTCCACTGGTAAGAAATTTCTTTGGCTAGTCCTTCACTGCCATCAGCATCTTCAACATGCTGCTGCATCCTGCAATAGTTACTCTGCTGATGTAAATTTGTGTGTGCCTTGCTGTAGTAGCGACTTGGTACTGGATGAAGGAGGTGAAACTGTGCATTGACAACAAGGTGCAAGGACTGAGGCTGACCAAATGCCTGCTACCACAGTCAAGGGCAAGACTAGGTTGGCCTCTGTGCTTGCCACCGGGAAGAACCTTTAGCTCCGCTGTTGGCCGCAACCCAGCAGGCGTGGAGCGGTGAGGACACATGCAGTGCCAGACCTTGATGTGAAGGATGGCCTCCCCTGTTACCAGAGAGCCATACAGCAGAAAAAAGGGGCAGGCCCAGCAGCCTGTAGTCGGCATATAGATTCATAGAATCATAGAATCGTTAGGGTTGGAAAGGACCTTAAGATCATCTAGTTCCACCCCCCCTGCCATGGGCAGGGACACCTTACGCTAAATCATATCACCCAAGGGCTCATCCAACCTGGTCTTGAACACTGCCAGGGATGGAGCATTCACAACCTCCCTGGGCAACCCATTCCAGTGCCTCACCACCCTCACAGGAAAGAATTTCCTCCTTAGATCCAATCTAAACTTCCCCTGTTTAACTTTTAACCCGTTACCCCTTGTCCTGTCACTCCAGTCCCTACTGAAGAGTCCCTCCCCAGCATCCCTATAGGCCCCCTTCAGATACTGGAAGGCTGCTATGAGGTCTCCACACATCCTTCTCTTCTCCAGGCTGAACAGCACCAACTTCCTCAGCCTCTCTTCATACAGGAGGTGCTCCAGCCCCTGATCATCCTTGTGGCCTCCTCTGGACTTGTTCCAACAGTTCCATGTCCTTTTTACGTTGAGGACACCAGAACTGCACACAGTGCTCCAGGTGAGGTCTCACAAGAGCAGAGTAGAGGGGCAGGATCACCTCCTTTGTCCTGCTGGTCACGCTCCTTTTGATGCAGCCCAGGATACGGTTGGCTTTCTGGGCTGCAAGTGCACACTGAAGCTGGCTCATGTTCATTTTCTCATCAACCAACACCCCCAAGTCCTTCTCCGCAGGGCTGCTCTGAATCTCTTCTCTGCCCAACCTGTAGCTGTGCCTGGGATTGCTCCCACCCAGGTGTAGGACCTTGCACTTGGCATGGTTAAACCTCATGAGGTTGGCATCAGCCCACTCACAAGCGTGTCGAGGTCCCTCTGGATGGCATTCCTTCCCTCCAGGGTATCAACCGAACCACACAGCTCTGTGTCATCGGCAAACTTGCTGAGGGCGCACTCAATCCCACTGTGCATATATTGGAGATATGATCTAGGCCAAATCCCTGCTCAAGTAGGGTCACCCAAAACATATATAAAACAAAAAGGGGGAGATGTGGAGGCAGTGTTCTCACAGGAGAATGAATAATTGGTACATAAATTCTGAATAATCCTGAAAGATGCAGCAAGGCCGTGAGAGGCCCGGGGCAGCCTGAACAAGCAAGATAAGAAGAAGCTGGATTTCACCAAGTTAATGAGAACTGTGGACTGTTGGCAAGCTTTCGAGGTAAAGTTCTCACACCAGTGCTTAACCAATTATATGCTAGTTGCAAAGGGTCTTCAAGACATGTATCCAATCAAATATGCCAAATCACTGTAAGTGCACGTAAGAAACAGTATTTAAGCGGTTAAGGCTTTGTAATAAACGGTTTTTGTCTGATCATATTGTTCTCTGACTGAGTCCATGTATTTTCTGCAGCAGTGGGGTTGATTGAAGGGAGGGGTCGACTGAAGGTTGGGGTTGATTGAAGGATGAGTTTGACTGAAGAATGGGGGTGATAGAAGAATGGGGTTGATTGAAGAATGGGGTTGATTGAAGGTTGGGGCGGATTGAAGAATGGGATTGATTGAAGGATGGGCTTGATCAAAGAATCGGGTTGTTTGAAGAATGGGTTTTATTGAAGGAGGGGGTTGATTGAAAAAGGGGGTTGATTGAAGGAGGGGGTTGATTGAAGGAGGGGGTTGATTGAAAAATTGTGTTGATCGAAGGATGGGATTGATTGAAGGATGGGGTTTGTTGAAGAATGGGGTTGATTGAAGGATGGTGTTGATTGAAGGATGGGGCTGACTGAAGGATGGAGTTGATTGAAGAATGGGGGTAATTGAATGATGGAGGTGATTGAAGAATGGGGTTGATTGAAGGATAGGGTTTATTGAATGATGGGGTTGATTGAAGGATAGGGTTGATTGAAGGATGGGGTTGATTGAAGGATGGGGTTGATTGAAGGATGGGGTTGACGTTAGGCTTTGTTAGCAACTATTATGATGATGGCTTGACTTCATTTGGGAGGGGCTTTACCCACGCTTACTACAAGCGCGCTGATGACTAAAAAGCCAAGGAGCAGTGGGTTTTTTAGGTGAGGCACAGCATGCGCAGAACTGGCCCCGTCCTTTACACCTGACGTTTGTCTGCCAGGGCCTAGCGAGCTTGGACGGTGACAGCAAAGTCCTCCGGTCACAGTCTGGTTGGAGTGTCCTTTTCTGAGATGGATGGCCTTACAGGGCCCAACGAGCTCCGTCTGCCCGGTTTGAAGTTAGAGCTCTCCTTCTCCTAGGATGGTTGCCCAAGGCTGGTGAGCCCATCCTGCCCATGGACACACTTTGTCTGCCCCTTCAGTTGAGACCGGTCTGGAATGGGAGACCCTACGGGAGGCATGAGCCACCACCAGCGTAGCTCCCAACCTCACTGGGGCATGCAGGCTCTTCCCCCACCACAGGGGGGTGTCCATGAAAGAGATAACCCCAGTATACCCCATTATACCCCATTATAACCGCATTATAATCCATTATAACCACATCATAACTCCATTATACCCCGTTATACCCCAAAATACCCCATTATACTCTATCATAACCACATTATAACCACATTGTAACCCCTTTATACGCCATTATAATACATTATACCCAATTATAACTTTATTATAACGCATTTTATTCTATTATACCCTATTATACCGCCATTATACCCCGTTGTACCCTATTATAACCACATTATACCCCATTATAACCCCATTATACCCCATTATTACCCATTATACCCCATTGTAACCCCATTATAACCCATTATACCCCATTGTAACCCCATTATACCCTATTGCAGCCCATTATAACCCCATTATACCCCATTGTAACCCCATTATAACCCATTATACCCAATTATAACCTTATTACAACCCATTATACCCTCTTATACAAACCTTATACCCCATTATAACCCAATTATACCCCATTATAACCCAGTATATGACCCTAAAAGTGCTGTTTTCACCCCAAAATGATGTTGACAGCAAAGGAGCCTTTAATGGTGGCGGGGCGGGCTCTCAGGCCCAGCGCCCGCAGCAGCTCCAGGGTGCCGGGTCGGGGCAGCAGCAGCGGAGTTGGGGTGGGTCCGGATGGAGCTGGACTGGGGCTGGATGGAGCCAGGATGGGTCCGGATGGAACCGGATTGGATCTGGATGGAGCCGGATTGGGTCTGAATGGAGCCAGATCGGATCCGGATGGGGCCGGGATGGGTCCGGATGGAGCCATGTTGAGCCCCGATGGAGCTGGATTGGGTCTGGTTGGAGCCAGACCGGACCCGGATGGGGCCGAATGGGATTGGGATGGAGCTGAATTGGGTTGGGATAGGGATGAATCATATTGGGATGGAGACGAATGGGATTGGAATCGGACTGCACTGGGTCCAAATGGAGCTGAATGGGGTCAGGATAGGGATGAATGGGATCGGGATGGGACCGAATTGGATCTGAATGGAGACGAATGGGATTGGGATGTGGCTGAACTGGGTCCAAAAGGAGCAGAACTGAATTGGGATGGGACCGAATGGGATCGGGATGCAGCTGAATAGGATTAGGATGGGACTGAACTGGGTCCAAATGGAGGGGAACTGAATTGGGATGGAGCCAAACTGTGTCTGAATGGAGCTGACTGGGATTGGGATGGGAATGAACCAGATCAGGATGGAGCCGAATTGGGTCTGAATGGAGCTGAATGGGATTGGGATGGAGCCGAATTGGGTCCAAATGGAGCCAAACAGGATCGGAATGGGACTGAATTGGATCTGAATGGAGCCGAGTGGGATTGGGAAGGGACTGAATTGGGTCATTCCGGAGCTGTGGATACTGACAGAACACTGGATGCTGTTGGAACACAAACGGATCCTGATGGAGCAGAACCGGATCATGCCGGGATATTGGATCATTCTGGAGCATTGCATCACGATGGAGCCAAACTGGATCATCCTGGATTCCTGGATCATTCTGGAGCCATGGATCATTCCAGAGCTCTGGATCATTCCAGAGCTCTGGATCATTCCGCATCCCTGCATCATCCTGGATCCCTGGGTCATTCTGGAACCTTGGATCATTCTGGATCCTTGAATCATCCCGGAACCCTGGATCATTCTGGATCCCTAAATCATTCCGGAGCATTGGATCATCCCGGATCCCTAGATCATCCCGGAACACTGGATCGTGCCAGAGCCGCACCAGGCTCTCTGGGAGCATGGAATCATCCCAAAGCACCAGCTTGTGCTGCAGCTCCCCCTCATTCCAGAGCCCTGGATCATCTGGGAGCACTGGATCCCATTGGTATCGCAGCTCCTGGTGCTTGGGAGCAGATCCTATGGGATCCGGATCCGGATGCTCCACACATGGACATGGATCCACGTCTGGATCCAGTTGCAAGGGGGAGCGCTGACACAGACACGAAATTCCATGGGGCTGGAAGAGCGGAACCAGGCTCCAGAAGTGGGGGCTCTGGGGTGGGGGGGAGAGACACCATTGCCCACCATTGCCCCCCATTTTCTCCATTGACCTTATTGCCCCCCATTACCCCCCTTTACCCCCATTGCCCATTACCCCCAATTACTCCCATTGCCCCTGTTACCCCATTACCCCCCATTATGCCATTGCCCCCCATTGCCCCCCATTACCCCCATTCCCGACTCACTTCCCACTGCTCCGCACTGGATCCAAAGATGGGGCTGGGGATGCCCCGGTCCCGCCGCGCATCCGGTTGCGGCTCCCATTGAGGCTCCAGGGACCTCTGGTTCGGGTCCCGAGCTCCCGGGTTCGGGTCCCGGTGCCCCCGGAGCAGCCGCGAGAGCCGGGGGGGGAAGCCCCGGTGCCTCCCCCCTCCCCCCCACGGAGCAGCGCCCCCAGCACCGAGCGGCGCCGCTCCCGTAGCAGCACCGGGGCCCGGTGCAACAGCGCCCCCAAGCGGGAGGCCAGGACCCGCGCTATGGGGTGTTGGGGGGGTGGGCACTGGGACCCCCAAGTTATGGGGCGCCCCCTTTGTGCCCCCCAAGGTATGGAGCGGGGTCTGGGGGTCCCCCTTTGTGCCCCCCCCAAGTTATGAGGCGCCCCCTTTGTGCCCCCCAAGCGATGGGGCGGGGTCTGGGGGTCCCCCTTTGTGCCCTCCCCCAAGTTAGGGGGCTCCCCACCTGTGGAGCTCCCCAAGTTATGGGGCGGGGTCAGGGTCCTCCCTATGGAGCCCCGCCCCATGTGACCCGAGGTGACCTCGCGGGCGAAGAGCCCGCGGGGGTGGGGCAGGAGGCCCCGCGCCCGCCCCAGTTTGGTCCCGTCCAGTTCCCGCCGCGGGCGGCGCAGGGGGGGGAGGGGAGCGGTGGCGGCTTCATGGGAATAGCCGGGGGGGGGAGAAATAGGTGGGAAATGGAGGGAAATGGGAATGGAAAATGGGGGGAAAAGGAGGGGAAATGGGGAGGAAATGGGAAAAGGGGGGAAATGGTGGGAAATGAGAAATGGGAGGGAAATGGGGGAAATAGGGGTGGGGGAAATTGGGAGTAAATGGGAGGGAAATGGAGATGAAATGGAGGGGAAATGAGGGAAAAAGGACGGGAATTTGGGAGGAAATGGGGGAAATGGTGGGAAAAGGGGGGAAATGGTGGGAAAAGGAGGAGAAATGGGGGAATGGAAGGAAATATGGAGGAAATGGTGGGAAATGGGAGGGAAATGGGAAGAAATAGCAGGAATGGGGAGGAAATAGCAGGAAATGGGGGAGAAATGGGGGAAATGCAGAGGGAATGGGGGAAATGAGAAGGAGTTGGGGAGCTCAGAGCTGATTGGCTGTTGCCTGGGCAATGCTCGCCAGAACGAGGCCGGGTGGGGGGGGTGTGTGTGTAATGCGTGGGAAGCGGTACGTGGAGACCCCGTTGCTAGGCAACGGAGGCATCCAACCCGGAAGTGCGGAGAGCATCACGGAACGGGGATGGGGAAAGGCCGAAACACGGGGGGGGGGAGAGGGGGCCTCGATTTCCTGTGAAATCTTTATTTATTGGTTAAGTTTCCTTTTCATACATTCTTAAGGTGACACCCCCCCCCCTTTACATCGGTGTCACTAAGGCTTCGGATAGGCACCCCCCCCATCCCCCCTTTATCCTCCCCTCTCCCATCCCGGGTATAAAGAGGGGGGGAGGTGCCACCCCCCGACACCCCCGGGTGGGGGATGGGAGGTTGTGTCCATTGGGTACCCTCCCCCACATCCACCCCCCCCGTTTTGGGGTGCTGGGGGGGAGGTGAGGTCGATCCTCCCCCCTTCCCCACAGGCAGTTCATCAACAGGCACTTAATGACCCCCCCGCACCTTCCCCGCCCACCCCACCCCCGTTTTTGGTTACATGAAGCCCTTTCTACAGGGAACCCTCCAAAACCCACGCACGCACCCACAATGTGTTTGAGGCCAACACTAAAACAGGATTGCAAAGTCAAAGAACACGGACCTGGATGCGCAGGGCAGCCCCGGGAGATGCAGCCTCCCGAGGGAGGGGAGGGCTCTCCTCTGCACCGGTTACTGCAGGGCTCTCCCTCCTTAAAGAGCCCACGCTCACCGTGGGGGCCCCGTCACAATGGGCAAATCCAGAGCGACCGCCACGGCTTTGGGATGGCGGCAGCATCGTGCCCATGGCCACTGGGCACCCAGGGGTGCTCCGGGAGTCGCTGTGGCGGGACCAGCCTCTGCTCTCTGCTGCCAGAGCCGCAGACTCAGTCTCAGTGGGAGAAAAACCTCCAGGCCCTGCAGCCAGCCACATTGTGCTCCCCTGCACGCTCGCAGCATTCTTCATCCCGCAACCCCACAATACAGGGATGGCTCCATCCCATCAAGTGCTTCCTTTTATTTCAATCCGCATGAAAAACAAACCAGATTCCTGTGTTCCCTACACTGTGCACTATTAACTGTGAGCACAAATCCCACCGACCCAACATGCGGTCCCATGGCCCGACCCGACAGCGCAGACCGGCTGGGCCAGCTCCCCGTGCCCCAGCTCCAGACAAGACCGCCCTGTGGAAAACAACCCTCAGCTGCAGGTTGAGAATCTGTCCATGGCAGGGAAACGGCAGCGACCACAACTACGGCCACAGGGAGCTGGGGAGCAGGAACCGCTCCGCACCTCCGCCAGGCTGCTGACAGAACGCTACGGACCCGGGACAGGCACAGGACACACACGGAGGGAAGGACCCATGTGGAAAACCTGGCAATCAGCAGCTGAAGGAGCAAGGCACGGGTTGGAAACCTGCAGGAATTATGAAGAGAGAAATAACTCACCCACCAGCCAGAGCTCTTGAAAAAAAACAAGAACAAAGTCATGAAAATAAGTGAAAAACCTAACCTGGAGCAACAACAGAAAAGGTAAAATCTTTCATCACTAAAATCACTATTAAGAGCTGTACAGCAAACTTTGCTCCTGTACAACTGTTGTGGTTTAAAAGGGACAGGGCATAAAACTAAACAGGGAAAAGGAAAATGCTAACCAGCAGTGACGCCCAATGTAATTGCTCAGCACCCACTGAGCGATACCCAGCCTGACCCAATCCAATCCCTTCTGGGTGACTCCCTGTAGTTTCTATACTGGACATGACGTGCTGTGGGATGGAATACCCCTTTGGCTAGTCTGGGTCAGGTGTCCTGTCTGCTTCCTCCCAGCTTCTTGTGCGCCTCCTCACTGCAGAGCATGAGAGACTGAAAAGTCCTTGATCAGGGTAAGTGCTGCTGAGTAGCAACTGAACCATCAGTGTGTTACCAGTGTTAATTGCCACAATAAAGCCAGAACACAGCACTGCACCAGCTACAGGGTAGAGAATTAACTCTATCCCAGCCAAAACACCACCCAGGGGGCTGGGAGCTCAGCCCTGAGGCCAGCACCAGCCCTGCTGCCTGACCAGGGGATGGGAGCTCAGCCCTGAGGCCAGCACCATTCCTGCTGCCTGTCCAGGGGATGGGAGCTCAGCCCTGAGGCCAGCACCAGCCCTGCTGCCTGACCAGGGGATGGGAGCTCAGCCCTGAGGCCAGCACCAGCCCTGCTGCCTGACCAGGGGATGGGAGCTCAGCCCTGAGGCCAGCACCAGTCCCACTGCCTGCCCAGGCAGCCTTGAAGCCCTTCACACCAAGTAACTGCTCCAGTTCCCAAGACAAGCCAGGGCTGCAGCAACCAGAGGAACTGTGGGTGCCTCTGGAACAGGGACTCCCAGACAGAGGTTGGAAGCTCCCCACAAACCCTGGAGCCGTCATGCAGGGCTGATGCAGGGATTCTGTGGCCTTC